TGATCTAGCTGATCCTGCTCGCCAGGCGTTGATCGGCAACACTGATCTAGCTGATCCAGCGCGCCAGGCGTTGATAGGCAACCCTGAGCCTGCTCACTAGGAATTGTCTAAGGCAAGGTGCAATTGGTGGACAATTTTCAATAAAACGGAACGTGTCTTGGCGGCAGCAACAGCACAACTGTCTTGAATGTACTTGAGCTGCCTGCCTTCCAAAGCGGGGTATGAACTAGCCAAAGAAAAGAAGTGGTTACCAGTCCTCCAGAGCCCAGGGGTATTGTCCGTGATGCTGCAGCCCTTCTCACGGTTGGTGTGTGTGTGCACATGCGTCCTGCTGGCAGGGTGCTGAAGGGCAGTGATGATGTGCGGCTGATGCGTCCCCCAACGCCCGAGTCCCAGAGTCCCGACACCTTGGAGGACGCGGAGAAGGAGGAAGGAGCCCCCACCCGAATGGAGCCCGACACCACCCAGCCCACGGCCAGCCGGGAGGTCATCGAGAGCCTGGTTGTGATGATGAGGTAGGCCAGGGGCTGAGTGACGGGCTGCGGAGAGGGTATCCGACCGATCCCGGGGCTTCCAGACCTCTGTGGCATCCTTCCCTTTTCTAACCACTTCATCATCAGGGTCACAGGGCAGCTGGGGCCTCTTTTGGCAAGCAGCAGGCAAAAGGTAGGGTACAGTCTGGACCCAGTCCATCGCAGGACACACACTCACACCAGGGCCAGTTGACCTACCTGTATGTCTCTGGACTGTGGGAGGAAAACCATGCAAACACTGGGAGAACATACAAACTCCACACAGACAGCACTGTAGGAATTAAACCGGGGCAGCAATGCTAATGATAACCATGGAACAAGTAAAGGTTTATTCCATTCTTTACTTGTTCCTTTGCAGCCTAAGCATGCTGTTGTAGCACCCTACTTGAAAGAATGATAACCATGCTGCCCCTTCAGCGGTTTTTTATTCCTTTTATCCCCATCCGATTTGGAAGTGCCAGTAGTAATTTCTGCACTGCGCAGGACCCATGAGGAAGGACACGCTTGTTCCTCTGACGCGCTCGTCCCTCGAGCCGGCCACCTTGTCGCACGAGGCACAGGGCCTTAAGGGAGAGGGCTAGTGCACATTGCCTCCCGGACTAACGTCACCGCCGGCTTGCAGCTCCCATTCGCTGGAGGCGCTGATCCGCGGAGAGATTCTTCTCTGCCTCACCACGACGCCTGAATCGCCTGCACTCGGAGCATCTCTCTATACCGGTTCAGCTGTGCAGGAGTGTCTGGCTCCCGTATATATAGAGATGTACAGGGCGATTGCAAAGTTAGTTCGCCTCTTCAAACACAGTTACCCTGCAGACTGTTCTGTGAAGCCTTGATATTTCATACACCTACAAATGAGACCATCGGGGAATCGTGTTCTCAGGTAATCCAAATTTTTTCAATGGACAAGTGAAAAGTGCTCTGATTATTCCAAGTTCAGAGAACCAAGTGTTTATGTACTTTAACTTCAGTCTTCTCCATATTAATATCTTTCCTGTACTTTAAAGATTCTTAGGGTTGCAGACACAATTCTGTAACATATTCTCCTTTGTCTTTATCCTTCCAGGACGTTGCTACGGTACTTTTTCCCTCCGGATTTCCAGATCCCTAAGGATGATGTCAACACCATGACTGCAGAGGAGCTGGTGGCTTTCCCAATGGTAGGAAGCACTCTGGGATTGAGCAGAGAGCCTGCTGACACAAGGCTTCACCAGGGAACACTGGAAGACAGCGTTGTTGGTTATATAATAGACTAGCGGTTATTTAACTTTCTTATATATTCTAAATATGAAAACTGAATTTAACACACAAATATTTGTGTTTGTGAGGAAATTGTAAGCATAAGTTAGATATTATATCTTAATACGCGACGGCCTGGGGTGGGGTAGCTGGGCTGACGCCTGCGCCGTGCCCTGCCTCCACAGAAGGAGTATTTCCAGCAGTACGAGCTGGGGCTGCAGACGCTGTGCAATTCCTACCAGAGCCGCGCAGACGCGCGGGCCCGGGCGGTGGAGGAGAAGAGCAACAGCGCCGAAGCCAGGCTCCGCGAGACGGAGGAGAAGCTGCAGAAACTGCGCACCAACATCGTGGCTCTGCTGCAGAAAGTGCAGGAGGTGAGAGCAGCGCTGTTCACCCGCTGCCTGGACAGGGGACAGCTCGTAAGAGTCATCAGGCCACTGCTGGGAAAGTGGCACCCACTGTATCCAAGGCTTAGACCTATTCAGTTGGCGTGAAGCACCTTGGATATGTCTTTCAGGCTGTCCAGCTGAATTACTTTGCTGGGGCAAATGCTACTGCTTTTAAAGTAAATAATAGTTTTATTTTCTTTGTTCATCGAATGTTGTTAGCAAGCACACGTTTCTGAAATCCCTAAAGGATATTTTCTCCCTTTACGAGACGCACCGGAGTGTACTCTTGACTTGTCAGATCCGAAATTTTTGTTTGGAAGTGACTCTTTTCACATCACATTATGATATTCCAACACTGAGGTCCCCGTCAGAATTCAAATGTAGATTTTCAGCAGTTCCGATATAATTTTTGGCTGCAATGTGCTGAATAGCAGGCACCACAGCTTTGGCTTAATTTAATCCTCTACCTTGCAGGACATCGATATCAACACAGATGATGAGCTGGACGCCTACATTGAAGATCTGCTTACTAAGGGAGATTAAGAGACGCCTACTTCTTACGTCAGCCAAAGGGACTGATCACAGACAGCACAGCTGGCTTGGGCCCGTTTACCCTGTTCCACTACCTGGAGTCGTCTGTTCTTCTCTTACATTCTTCTGCATTCCTAGAGACCAAGGCGTTTGTGGGCAGTGGCACTGGAGGGTCCAGGAGAAGGGGGCATCGCAGTGGTGGGTCAGTGGCTGGTTGCAGCAGCACTTTGGAAGCAAAGGAGCAGAGAGACTGCTTTCTTTTTTGCAGAAGCTCTCTCCTGCAGGGAACAGGACTGGCACCACCCTCCCTGTGTGGGCAGTGCTCACCAACCCACCCCGAGCCTGAAAGCGAATCTGCTTTCGCTAATCTGTGGCTAAGTGGGGATGGAGGAATAACGCTAGATGGCATTAATCGTACCAAGGTAACAAAAACTACACTGCATTCAACTTTTAAGGACAGCCAAGTGAAAGGACAGAGGAGGCTGAAGGATGCTGTTTGGTTGTGGACCAAAGTAACCTATTGAGCTGAGCTCGTATCTGGGATCTGCAGAGAGAGAACCGTCTTCTGCTTCCAAAGAAACTAAGATACCTTGCCTGGATGGCTGTGGTGTTCTCCTGGACCCAGGGAAAATGTGACTTTTACAGCTGAGCTCCAGTCTGTTAACATATTTCTGTTGGACGACTGTTTATGAAAAGCGCATCACCTTCCCCAGTGTTTTTAAATTCCTAATTTTTAGTTATCACAGTTCAAAATTTCTACATTTTACCTAAAATAACGTAAGCTTTCTTTGGACTGTTTGTTGTTGTCTGTGACAACTTCACGTCAGGTCTTGCTCAGACTAAAGCTAAACCAGTAATGACCATTGTCAGAAAGTCACTATTGCACTCCCATTGTTGCATCTGCTGTTAAAAAAACAGATTTTCAAAGTAAGGTAAGACTGGTTTGTATATACCACAGGGTTTTTAAATAGCCATACAAAAACAGAGCAGGTAATAACTGCGAACTAATCATTCTGGATTTTTTCCAACTGTAGCTGATTTCAAGGATGTTAGCCATCATAGTCTACTGTGATGATGTGCTTAAGATAACAGGGTTTCTTTGAGGCTGTCGTCTTGTGAAATACCATCTGTACTCTGATTTTTATTCTTGATGCAGTCACCTGTTCTCCAAATTAAATCCTAACTTTTAACTAAATGCAGGGTGCAATTTCCCGCTGGTTTTTTGACTGCTGTTTTCCGTTTGTCAGAAGCTTTTACTCCTCACTGCGGAAAGCAGCCTTCGATCTAGATGGGGAAATGTCTGAGAACAGGTGGATTGAAGTCTAGGTTTAATACAGGAAACTTCTACACAGTTTTGTGCTATAAATCCACTTGCAGATGAAAGGATCATTGTTAGTTTCCAGCTTTAAATTATAGTTTTTTTGGCTACATTTGAGCACAGCAGGATCAGAGTTTGCTCTTTTGGGGTTTGTTAAAGGCACAAGAAATAGTGCCACAATTGTTCCCTTAACAAGATTAGAGCATGTATATGAATAGGTCAGGAAATAATACTATCTGTAAAGTGTAACCTGTAAAATTAGTGTTAACAGTCCATCTTTGTTGTTGCCTCTCAGTTTTGATTACAGCCTGTTAACCATTGTAATCCAGCCTGATTGACCCATATAAGTTTCTTGGGTTCTGTAATTTGCAGCCTGAACAGTCTGCCTGCTGGGATCTGTTAACTGTCCATGTTAATGTTGAGTGGACAGTTCAACACCTTCAAAAGAAAGTGTATCAACCAAAAGTGTGGGCTACTTCCACAGGGATGCCCTCAAGCCAATGTGTTTACTGGATTATCAGTATAATGTTTTTTTTTAGTCCATGAATCTGATTAATACACCAAATTCCAACTCATGGTTGTGTTCAACACATTGAAGGAGGATTATTTCAATTTCAGATTACCCAGAAACAGGCTGATGTGCGTACAGTTCAGTATACATTTTTCTGATCCTCTGCCTTCTCTGAAACAACAGGTTTTGTTTTTTTAGAATTACTTTAACAATGTTAAAAGAAATAAGTGTTTTATTAAAAATGGTGGATTGATTTTTTTTAGATACTGTGATGGACAGATTATTGGAAACACTGAGCTGTAAAAGTTAAAACCCTAAACCTAAAAACTCTAAGGAGGGAGAATCAGTTTCATGTGTGATTTCTTAGTGTTTCAGTATAACAGCTCACCTGGCCTCACTTAATATGTTCATTGTTTTATGATTTTCCTTAAAAAGACAACTCTGTACATTTTGAGAAGATATTTTATTGGATAAAAATAGGCTTTAGTTTTTATGAGAAAGGAAAGGTGACTGCCAGAGCACCAGAGGTATTTTAGATAGCTTCAGGGTTGGCAGGAACCTGTTTCTATTTTACAAGTGATTATGCAGCTTACAAATCTTAATTACAGCTCTGAAAACAAAATCATAGGGCATGTGTCCTGCGCACAGTAGTCTTTACATTTTCAGTAATTCTGTTTCTGGATATGAAATGCACATGTAAAACTACTGTAGAAGGAACAGAAAGGAGCTTCTATCCATGTGCAAACATGTTCAAGACATGGAATGTACTGAAACAAGTTGAGAACATAACTCAATTTAGAATGATTATTAAAGGGATGAAAACAAAAAAAACATTTAACAGCATAAACTAAATATGGTGAAACAGTTCAAATGTGCATGAAAAAAAGTTCAGAGGCACAGGTATTTCTATTATTTGATTCAAGCATTTTAAAGTATAGGGTGACAATTCCAAAAGACACGGCACGAGAGAATAAGAATTTATTGTTAATGCATATTCATATCGGTTCTTCATGTGCTTTATTCAAAACTTCATGTCACCAGTAAACATCACAAGCACTACACAGACTGCTTGTACACAACACAAGGACTTGTGCTAGAGGCTTTGTTTACTGAACACAATCATTGTGAACCCACTTCACCCACCCCCCACCCCCCCAGAAAGTTGCACGAGTATCTTCCGTATACCTCCTCATTTTTTAGCCCTGCTGAAACTGCACACAACATCCTGCGGCAGCTGGAGATTAATTCAGAAAGCACTAGTACGCTTACACTGTAACTTGTTCCAAAATACAAGTAGTTGGTTAATAGTTATTTGTTCTTGTACCACTATGGTTACAAGGGTTGTGATGCACTGCTTTCCTTTCTAGATTTCATAGTTGCTAGAGTCCCAGCTACCTGAAGTTACTGTATGTTTTCAGGCAGTGCTGCCAAGCACTCTATCGTCATGAATTTGGGTTGAGATAGTGGCTGTTTTCACGAGAACATTACATTTATTCCAGAGCCTCTTGAGACCCCAGAGTCTGGGACCCATAGGTGGGGTAGGCGATTGTCCTCTGATCGCTTACCAAATTATTAAATAATCATTTTCACACCCACGGTCGGGCCTGTTAAGTTACATAACTTGAGTACACACGTGGGATAAAGTTAAGGAACACCCATAGCACAGAGCTAACACTCAGAGACAGACTTTAACAGGACATCACAGTCTAATACCAATACCAGCTTCATAAGAAAAGGCACTGAGGTGGAAGGTCCTGACTTCATTATTTATACGCAAAGGCGCTTGAGGAAAGACAAAAAAAAATCAGAAGTTTAAAACTTTCTCTACTCCACTACAAACTATATAATTTAGACATGTTCTTCTATTGAGCACCCTGATTCATTTTAAAAAGTACAAGAAAGAGGCTGCTGAAATGAGACTAGCAGAATTGATTAGCTGTTCCTTAAATTACAGACCTGTCTCTTAGTTTTACTTGAGTGCTGTAATACTTGCATTCCACCACAAGAGGGAAGCATTGGTTATTTTGGGTTACAATCAAATAACAGTTCTTGAATACTGCACTTTAAAGCTCTGCGTTGTATAAATATGGCACTTCACTACACGTATCAGACTGCTGCTGAAAGAGGGTTTTTTTTCTACACCCACTCCCCTTGTCTCTATAACTCCAAAAGATCTAGAAATTGTTGCACCAGTACAATTACCTGGGTTTACAAAGCAACTCTGCTTTTACAGCGCATGTTTTACTTCCCCTCTGCCCTGGGAATGAAGCAATTCTGATTATTTAAAGGCCAGTTTAGGTTAAGCAGCCAAAAGACTTCTGTGCTTCACAGTCGACAAACAAAAACAATAAATATGCGGCTAAGATCACGTAGGATTCAACTGACAATAATTAAGGGAAAAATGAAAAAAGGTGCAAAGATGTAGGTACCTGAGAAGTAACCACTCTTAAGTATTGCTTAAGACTTCCAGCACTTAAATATTCATAACTAAGTAGAAAACAAAATACTCATCTTTATTGGTGTGTCACAGAGAAAGCAAGCAGGCAGGTACAACTGTAGAATGAACTACTGGTACCTCACAGCTGACACTTTCCTAATTAAAACATGTTCAACGTGCAGTAAATGCAGCCTCTGAGAAAACAAATTTGTCAATGAGACCTCTCTGAGTTTACTGAACAGTGCTACCCTAGAGTAGCAGGACCCCTCAGGCCTGCCCAATCCACCACAGAGAAGCATCCCCCTGCGCCGGCCCTTCACGAGGAAAACCTATTGAGTTACCCTGCACCCTGGTACAGCTGTGTTCTTGGCAATGGACTGAAGATAAAACACTGCTGTTTGCAAAAGTCCCAGCTGAAGGGCTGGTCGCCAAAACCTAACACTTGAGTCAGAAGGCAGAAACCAAACCGTGTTACTTGGTTTCCTGTTTTCCACAGAACTGTTGCAATAAGGTCTCAAACACCAAAGCCTTGAACTTCAGCCCAGTAATTTGTAAACCCATTTTACCAAAGTAATACCTGGGGCTGAAGTTCCAGAAGCAACGGCTGTTCCCCGAACGTCAGACGCCCAGGCAGGCAAGCCCCTGAAGCTAGCTCTGACTCGGGGGCTCTGTGCATGTGAAGTTCAGGGGGACCTTGCCCTGGACTTCCTCCACCTGCGTCTGCACCGCCTGCACCCACCGCGCCAGGTCTGCCTGCAGGGCCTGCGCCCCCTCCGCCAGCTGCTCCTGCCGGCTCGCCACCTCCGCCAGGAGCTGCCGGTTCTTCCTGGCCCTCCGAAGCCCCTCGCAATCCGTCTCCGCCTCCCGCGGGGCCATGCGCTGGCCCTGCATGTACCCCTCGAACTCCTTGGCGCTCAGGTTCAGGGCCGGGCCGTCCAGCTTCTCGATGAAGGCCACAGCGCAGCACTGCCGGGAGAGCAGAGAATAGTTTCTGGGTGAACAGACGGGACGCGACAGACATATGATACACAAGATGATAGAAGGAACGTCAAATGGTTATTTTTTACAGGACTTGCTTACACTACACATGTGGTTCATTCATTTTTATTGTTGCATATACAGTCTCATGAAAAGCATTCACCCCTTCCTGCATTTTCTTCCTACGGAATATTGACAGTGCTTCATGTGGGTCCTAATGATGTATACAGACAGTCTGAGTGAACAAATAACACCAACATTTGGTACTTGTTTCATTAATTTCATGAACAGTCATCCAACTTCCAGTGTCCCTGTGTGAAAAAGTCCCCCCTAGTTCAATCAATTCAACTAAAAGGCATAACTAAGGCGGTCTGTGTGAATTCTTGATTAAGTAACCGGGGCTTATTTGCATCAGCCCTGCTCGGTGTAAAAGAAACTCATCTGTTCGTCATCTTCATCGTCACCAGTGAAGCCCCACCCATACAGACCCTCAGAGCCACGCCACGCCCCGTTCGAAAGAGATTCCTGAAGGTCTCGGCAAAGGAGTGACGGGGAGGCGTGCGCCAGTCTGGGGAGGCTCTGGGGAGGCTCTGGCGCAGAGGCCCGCGGGCCCTTAGCCGGACTCACCAGGTTGGTGAAGCAGTAGCCGGACTCCCCGGCCATGAGGCTGTGGGGCAGGCCGAAGCGGGTGATGTACTGCGTGTTGGAGTGCAGCCGGGGCGGGTTGGCCTTCAGCACCACCAGGATCATGCCGGACAGGAAGTCGTCGGCGCTCGCCGGCTCCGAGCTGGAGGAGGCCAGCACCCGGAAGACACTCTGGCTGCACTTGGAGACGCAGGCCAGCTTGTCCTGCGGCGCTCGCCGGGCGTCCATCTCGATTATCGCTGCCGAGAGCAGGGGGCGAAACGCCTTCATCGTACGGCCACTGGGGCTCGGGAACTTTCAGAATATCTCTTCATCCACTAATGTTCTAATCTCTGCTTCCAATTCAGAGTCTCAGGGGGAGCTGGAGTCTATTCCAGCAAGGAACTGACCATTGGTAGAATATAAGAGTGGCTAATTAGCTACAGCCCCGTGTAGGACAGTGACAGCTACTCAAAGTGTTGACAAGACAGGTGATCCTGGTGTTCAGGACTATTACACATTCAAGGCATAGATACATTTGAAGGCGTTCCAGGAAGTGAGTTTAATCAGGACTCTTGAGCACAGATCACTTATGTGCTCAATGAAAAGTCATGCTCAGTTGCCTGGCCAGACATGATGCCCTGATCCTGTCTGACACTGGTAGAGAGCCACTGGGGTCACTGGGTTCCATGAATGTGCAGGCCTTCACGTGGTCGTCTATCAAGGACTATTATACAAAGCTGTCTGGTTTTGTGTGCACTTTACCCTGTTGTTCTTCAAAAATAAATTGAAAATAGCACAATGGAACGTACCAGCTGAATGAAATAATTAAAAAAGCCTACGATATCGAACGGAGATGGTGAGGACAGAACAGCATAAGGCATAGCATCTACATACATTTCAGAGCACAACAACAGAGCCATATTCTGTTATTAATCAGTGAGAAATTTAAAGGTAACTCACCTGTGATTGCAGGCAGGAGGGGGTCACTGTTGACCTCTAACCTCTCCTCTTTAATGGGAACACGAAGCATCTGAGGGGTCACCCAGCTGAGAGATCTGTGGAAATAGCAGTGGCAAAGATCAGCTTAGTAACTAGTTAGGCAGTGTAGATGTAATAGTAAAAGGCTGCTTCAGACATTCCTAAACCTAATACAGAAGGAAAGACCTCTGTCCAATTATAGTCCACCTCATTAGAAAAACTCATGTGGTGATTTTCTGGACTCTGGGCCTAACCTTCAGTGGTTTAGCAGGTATGCAATCTGAGATACAAATTTTGTTTTAACCCACATGGCCTAAGGAATGATATCTTTTCCTTCTTCACCCTGTAAGCCTGAATGAGATTTTGAGAATAATTTCAGCCTATTTATGTAAATTTCCTCCAGAGGATTAGCTGTCCACTTGGTGATGTATTCTGGGATTTTCAGCATCTGTTCTGAACAACAGCCTATAAAAGGATGACTGTTACTGAGCTGTACTCAGCGGGCTTCCAGGTCTGTGGTCCGAGTCTCACCGGATCCTCCTCTGCAGGGCCAGGTCTTTCTGCTCATCGTCAGAGCTGTCATGGCAGAACACCCACTTGTGCAGACGCGTCATGATCAGCTTTTCAATGTGCTCCATCATCTGCACCGTCTGTTCCTCGGAGAGGCCTGCAGGACAGAGGGGGGGCAGCAGCTCGAGCCTGAGGGAATCCCACACCCTTCCTCCAGCTCACTGCATGTGCACAACCAAGCCACGGCCAAGCGCTCTTTCAGGCGAGCAACAGGCATTCCTCTCACACGTATCGGTTCTGTGCTCCACAGAACCTTTGGGTTCAGTCGGTCAGTCTCTCTCTATGGGTACAGGCAACACGGCAGACTAGAACAGCACGAAAAAGACTTCTATCCCTTTCTTGACCAGAACAAATCCCAAATCTCCACTATACCGAAAACTGTGGATCAAACACATCCAGGCCAATTTCCTGCAAAAAATGGCCCTTGTGTCAATACACTACTGACAATCAACCAAACAAGACAGTTTATACATAAGGCCATTCAGTCCCGTCAGACACACAGCACATGAGACCATTCAGTTGTTCTTTAGTTAAATAATAGGGGCCAACCATAAGATACACAAGTTGTATTATACACCTCCAACTGCTTTTTACTCACTGCTGAAGTGTCCGGCGATACTCTGATAAAAATCCTGCACCAGATCCGACTGTTTCTGTACCGGCAGATCCTACAAAGAGACAGACAGGGGATCAGCCAATGCCAAGTTCTTCCAGGTTCTAAGCTCTTCATCTCAGCGACACTAGAAAGAGGTCTGCTGCCTCACCTTCTCAGAGAAGCAGTGTGAGAGGGCACTGGACAAAGCGTTAGCAGACCTGGGGCACAGTGGGCTAGAGGAGGAAGGAGAGAGTGGGGAGGGTGAGAGGTGGCAGGAGACAGGCTGTGAGTGACAGGCAGTCTGGGAGCAGAAATACAGATGGGAGACTGGCAGAGACGTGGACAGAGACAGGTAGTCGGTGAGAGGGGCTATTACATGGTAGGCCTCCATGGTGTTGACGAAGGCCGTGCAGCGCGACTGCAGGCTCTGGGAGAACGGCTTGCGCAGCAGCTTGAGGAAATTAGTAAAGTCTCCGGGCTGGAGGCTCTGAAACGCCTTTAGGGCAGCAGACTGGCTCTCTGTGGGCTCTGGGGACAGAGAGGAGACAGATATTAGTAAAACCGAAAACCCTGCAAGGGGATGAAGGAGCTTGACTGGTAAAGCCCAGGCTCAGAGAGCCGCCCATTGATAAAAACAACACAGCACAACTGACACCCACTTCAGAGCCAAACTAGAGTTCACAGGAAATCTGTGAAACAACCACTGTCCTTAGTTTACTAGTCAGGTGATGGGTGAATTTAAAAGCCTGTGGCTCATTTTGAGAAGATGATGCCTTTGTGTTTTGAGCTATGTAGAGGACCATCTCACCGTTGGGTTTCTTCGGAGAGGAAGAAGGGCCCCAGAAAAGCCTCTTCATGGTGTTGACTCGTCGCCCCTTTTCTGTGCTCTTCTTCTCCTCGAACTTGGAGAAGGTGATGGCTGAGCCCCCTTCCACACCGGGGCTAGGGCTGCGGACACAAAACAGCAACCCCACACAGACTTAGCCATCGCAGAGCGAAGATCTACACACCCCAGGGCACACCAGCCACGGGAAGTCAGAAAGGAACGAGCGCATCCTAAACAAACGGGAATCTTTTTAAAACAGAAGACGACAAGGGGAATAGATGCACATTCATTGCTGTAAAGTACTGGCAAAATCTAGGCAGGAAATTAATTCAGGGCAAACCAAACCAGCAAAATAAGTATCGGAGAACAAGAAGAAAGGGTGGGAGGTATTTGGAACAGAGAACCTAGCCATATACATGAAACAGATTCCCTGGGATCTTTTAAAAAAGGGCTGAATGAGATGATGTTCAATGCTGTACTAGCAACTAAACAAATGATGAGCCCAATGGTCTCTTTTCACTTGTCACCTTGTACCAAAAGCACATGCTTTCTTCAAATGTACACAGGCTGCGCACTGAAGCTCACATGTACACACAATCAATTAGTGCACACGTGAACCCCAATCTCTCTAATGCACAAGAGATAAATACACTCCTTATAAGAACACGGCACTGGAGGGATACAGAATGATGTCATCTTTCTCCAATGCAGGGTTGAGGGGAGCCTGGAGCCCATCCTGACAAGAACAAATGCAAGTCAGGTCGCCAGTCCCTCACACAGACACAAACACGCGCTCACACCAGGGCCCGTTTCCCCAGAAGCCTAGCAGCTTGTCCCAGCAGCAGGTCTTTGGACTGCGGGGGGAAACCGGAGCAGCTGGAGGAAACCCACAAGAACGCAGGCAGGGCAAACTCCACGTAGAAGCTCTCCTTGAACCGAACCAGGGCCCCAGCTCTGCCAGGCAGCACTGCTGACCACAGCACCACCCTGCTGTCCAAATGTACAGTCAAAACATATCCAAGCTAACAGACGTGCTTTAAAAACACCTGAAAAGGGCAACACACAAATCTTGTTCTGGGGGTAAGTAGGGTCAACACAGGCGGAAAATTAGGAGAGGACAAGTAGGAACTGCTTACACATAAATGTAGCTTATCACAAAAAAAAAATCCCTGTGTTCTCTCCTGCGCCTTAGGTGTTTCCATATCATTTAGAAATGAAAATGTAAGTCAGTGTGACAAAGTACATGATCACATTTAAACCCAGAGCTGCTGTTCTGGCTTCATGGCTCCATGAAAGTGATAAAAAATTGCAAAGGTAGCTGCATGCTCTCATCTGGAGGATTTCAGCGTACAAACGTGTACATTTCTTTACTAAAAACCTAGAGGGGAGCAGGGATCATATCAAATATCCAACACCGTCCATCTATATATGTGAGAGACCGTAATAAATATATCTTAACGATGACCCACATAATAGTTCACTGGACTGAATAATTCAACTATTCTCTATTTCTTCACGCTGTACTGAGAACAGGATCAGCTGGTCTCCAACCTTGTTCCACAGGTTTTTTTGTTGCACTTGAGTGTGCAGCTGGGGATGGTGCTGAGACTGTTCCATACCAGTAATACTCAACTTAGTACGCAGCTCTGTAACAAATCTACAAGTTCACTGCGATTGACCTATTTTTCTTTTTTTTTTTAAGTGAATGTGAGATGCAATTCCATAGGAAACCATTAAGCTCGGTATTTAACCAACATTTGTACATTCAAAACAACCGCCAAGCCCTGAAGAATGAACAGATCCCACCAAATACCATCTGCACAATCCAGTTAGTCCACATCGTGTGCACATATCGTGCCAAGAATTTGGGAGCAGCTGCAGGTGGTCAACAGCATTGCAGCTGAGGAAAAGCAGCATTTTTTTTATCACGAGCTTTAGAATGTTTTCACAAGAACACAGAAACATGCAAGAAGGGAGGTGATCCACCACTGAAAGCTTCCTGAAAACGACTCTTTTCGAGTCGTGCGACGCAGGGCTCGGGGACACGGCCCCTGGACGTGTGCTTGGACAGTGCGGTCCACCACGGGCCCTACCTGCTGTCCTGCCTGCAGGCCTGCGCCCTGCGAGACCTCTCTCGCCAGCACTTGGAGCAGCAGCCCTGCCACGCGGGGTTGCCGTAGTAACCGCAGCCATCTTTGCACAGCAGCTCCGACTGGTCCACGTGAATTCCCCTGGGTTCCGCCCACATCCCTCCTGGCCTGGAAACAGGGGGCACGGCTTGTTAATGTCACAGCGAACTGTAGTTTCACAAGTGGCAAGCTTTGTCCTCAGATAAATAAACTGAATTGAATCAAAACTAAAATCCAGAGCAAAAACACCAGGTTATGGGTTAAGTAACACATGGGAAGCTTAAATGCTGAGCGTACAGTGTACTATAAGTAGGGCAATACCTAGAGCATAACTGCGTCACAGGACAGCCTGAAGTCATGCCTTGCTCGCTAGATGCCTCAGATTTACAGGAAGAGAGGATAAGAAATGTAACAATACTCATATAAGGAATCTTTGTAAACCCCATCTTATCCCTTCTGGTTTATCTTTTTGGAATGCAATATTTGAAAATATAAACTGGACGTTAGTTTGGACACCTCCTGATAGATATTGGGATATTTATTTGATAGGTATTACAAATAAAGTTAGAGATATCTTTTAAAATTGTTCATAAGTTTTATCCAGTTAAATTAGTGCTCTCTAAATTTAAACCTGAGCAGGATGATCTGTGTGTTTTTTGTCGGGCTGAAAGGGAATCTTTTGTGCACTTATTTGCGTTATTTAGGTGTGTGTTTGTGAAGTTGTTTTGGACGGACTTGCAGAGTTTTGTTTGCAGGCAGTTAAAGGTGTTTTTTAGATTTAAGTATTTTGATATTTTATTGTACTGTTTAGCAGAAAATGTGGAAAAAGAGCATTTATTTATAGTCAATTTATTAGTCATTCTGGGTAAATTTCACATCCAAACATCTAAATGGTCTAATAATCCCCTTTTTAGTACTTTTGAGGTGGAGCTGAAACACTATTTCAATTCTATACAAAATGTGAGAGATAATAAAGCAAGAACATATGATAGATGTAAAAAATACAATTTGATCACATGATTGACTTCATGACCTCTGGCGGTTAAATGTTTTTTTTCTGTTTGTTTTTTTTTTCTATTGTACCTGTTTTTGATCCTCTGGTTGTACTTGTATTTGTAAATTCGGTTTAAGGGTTTAATCACTGGACAGTGGCAGCACTCTGGAATCGTGTCAGCAATGCAATTTTCTTAATGCAATAAAAGTAATTAACGAACGAAGACAGCAACGCGTATAATCGTTATCTCAACGAAAATCGAAGATATAAAATACTCTTCAAAAATATACTTTCGTTGTATAAAACCTGCACAAAGCTGAGGCCAAGATTACACCAATCGCCGCCCGTATGCAATCTCGTTGTAGGTTATTTACTAGACTAGTTATCTTTATTTAAGTTTTCCATATTTAATTAGTTTTCAAATAGGCTTCATACCCGCCGCCCTAGGCACCGAAAGTGAGTGATGCCCTGTTGTTGTACAATCATTTTTAATGACATAGAAAATAAAATCGATCAAACCCAGACATTTTCTCCCCCGGATCTCAAATGCAATTTAAAGAGAAAAACAGCCTGTTTTTCCTTGGAGTCTTTCTTTCCGGCGTTTCACTGCTATCTGCGCAGACAACTTTTGCTTGCTTCCCGGAGTTTCCGCAAATGCCGGTGCGTGATGTCTTGATGTTTACAGAGGCTGTCAGATCTGATTTCAGGAAACTCACAATCCCCTATTTCCCACCCCACTGCCCCAAACACAGCAAAAAGAGGGTTAAAGGGCAACTCACCAGGCTGGGCGGCAGCAGTGCCTGCACTGTACTGCAACACCGGTGTATGAGCGAAGCTGACAGATAAATCAGGTCAGAGATAAAGTACGATTCACCCTCTTCTGTCTCTCGGCGCTTCGTCCGTAACCCGGAAATGCTACACTAAGCGTCACGAATGATCCGGAAGTGTATGCAAATAGTCGAATTTCAATCAAAGTAAAAGACTTTCAGCTACCACAGTAACATATGAGGAGTATAGCAACATTAGCCGAAGTGACAAGCAGCTGAAACACCTGCTTTGTTATTTCTTCATGGTTAACTGTAATTCCTTGAAAATTCAGCTAAAATTTGAGAGGGTCCTTTTTTCATTTTAAATCGCCTCCACTAATCTCCACGCTTGACAAATCTAAGATTATAATTTTTTTATTAATTTTACAGCACCTTTCTTCCATTTATACTACTGTAAAAATTGTCATTGCTATATTTTTTCATAGACATGTTTTTTTTCTGTTCAGTGAAAAGGGTTTTAAGATGCAAGCTTTTAAAGGAGCTGTATCTGTAATTTGTTATTAAATCAAATCCTTTATTATATTTAAATTCAAACGTTATTTTAAACTATAACCAGGGACAAAAACGTTTTTTTTGCACCACCAATGGTGAGACATACAATGTTAAGACAGTCAGCCAACAGCAAATCACCCTTCTTCATTCCGTTTCAAGTATTTATTAATATTGATGGTCTGGGTGGATCACCTCTAGAAAACTGCAGTGCACAATTGGATGGGGAAAATTTGTGCCTCTCCAAAGGTGGGTGGAATCTATTGCACAGACCCTCAGCTAATAGAAAATCACCTTGTTTTTGTCAGATAAGTGTCTTTGCTAAAGCTGCTGGGGTTTATAGAGCACCTCCCATTCCCAGACTGGGACCGTGCAGTGATGGTGCAGGGAGTGGTCTAACTCCCCTCTCAGCCACACAAAAATCTGTGCCACTTCAAAACTATTTCAAATCTATTCTACAGATCCTCAGCTAATAGGACATCACCATGGTTTTCTCAGAGAAGTGTCTCTGCTAAAGTTGCTGGGGTTTATAAGACCACTTGCTGTTCCCAGACTGGGACCGCGCAGTGATGAACAGGGAAAAGTGTCAACAACAACCGTGATCCCAACCAAAGTAATGCCGACACTGAAGATCATAGTATTGTGGCCAAAACCATAGTTGTGACACGGAGTAAAGCGTACAATAAAAAAAATGGTTCTTAGGCATAGAGTGGATGACTGGCAATGTTTTGAAAAGGTCTAAACTGCATCCATAAATCTCCTAACAGCCAAAAAAAGGTGGAGTGTGATGCTTGCAATGAGCAGTTTAACTTTGATTGCGTAGGTATGACACAGAATGACAGAGATATTGAATCTGTAGGGTTTCTGTGTTGATGCCGAACCAGGTGAAATTGACATATGATCGAAGATTAGAGAATTTCTCACGGAACATCGATCATCCAAAATTGGACGCCCAAGCCGGATATTTACAATGTTTTTAAAACTTACAAGGCTGTCTGTGAAACGGATAATAAGGTTCTTGAACCGCCCGTTGTCAGACACGTCATTGTTGACGCCTGGGTTACACTGTAGGTGAGCTGCGCGACGCGGTGTGAAGTTCGCCTTTACTCACCGACTCCGGTCATTTAATCGGAGGCGTGGCTCATAATGTCTGCCCCCTGGGTGCGGCTAAGCCTGCCGGCCTGTCCTGGCTCCCACGCCGCCTGGGCTTGAGGCTTTCTGGGGCTGCAATTCCGGGCTCTGACCAGCAGGCGGCGCCGTCTCCCGCTGGGAGTCCCGGCAGCTCCAGTCTGCTGCAGACCACAACTGCGCCTTTGATTCAAAGTGAACACAGGGCTGCGAAGGGACTGAGAACGTGAGAGCAAGGCTGGGGGGGGGAACCCAGGCTCTCACTAGGCCTGCCTTCACAGAAAACGTCCTGTTGATTTTCGGCGCGTGCTGCCGAGGAGCAGCTGCACAGTTTATCCCTTTCTATCCATCAACTGCCCTCCTCCCCCCCACCCCAACTTCTTTTCTCCCTCTCTCTTCCCTCTATTCTACAGCCTTGACAGCTCGCCATCTCTGCACTGGAGGCCTTTTCATGGCGGGCACCTGTCAGGAAGGGGGTGAGGGGTGAGGCGCTAGATTTAACTGCTGCACCCAGAAGTGGAGGAAAAGTGTGTAGGAGTCTGGGAGGCGCAGGGGAGGGAGGGAGGGGATTTATGTCTTGCCATTCATCTTTGAAACGTCTCTTCTCTGCTGTCCTTCTCCCAAAGGCCTTATTCAGTGTGTTGCTGCGTGTGTTGGGACGATGTGTCCTGCCAGTGTGGGGTGGTTTCATCATTCCTCTGGACAGTATCCAGGCCGTCAGTTCTAGTGATGCATTTTTCTGTTGACTTCCTCTCTGCCTTATTACATTTGTTGCAGAACAGCGACATATTTAGAACGAGTGGATAGGACGAACAATTTGTAGAATTAAACTCCCGCAATTGGAACATTTTACCTGCCTTGTATACAAAATGTTATCCAGACAGTATGTATCATTGTTCATGCAGATGGATTCTGAACCACAGCAGAGAACTAATTGAATAAAATTCAGGCTTAAACTTCAGTTTAGGCGTGAATGATAGTAACACCATTGCCTTTCTGGTATAATCTGCAATTAGACATGACTGGACAACAAAGGCTTTAGATAAAATATGTTCAAAATGGAGTTTCAGGAACTCTTGGGAGGCTATCTGCTCAGAGAACAGGCTAGGCCCTGTGGTGCAGAGGTTGCTGGTTCAGAACTGGGCTGTGTCACTTGTCAGCTGTGGCACAGAACTGGCCAAGAGGGAAGGTATGGTTTGAAGCTTGCTAGACTAATCCACGAGAGCTGCATCAGTTCTAGGCCCAGTGCCTATTCTCTGCTGTTTGCTCTGTGTTTTTATAGCGTGTGGCCTGAAATGAATGTGCTGGTGTGTATGGGGTAACCTCGTCCTGGAAGACTGGTTTGTCAGGGGGTTTTAATTCTGAGCCCCACTGATATAGATCAGCTCCCTATAGGGAGGCTTAATTGGATCCATTTCCTACTAGCTGTTCAGGTACTGTTGCTTTAAATAGACCTAGAAACCCTCCAAAAACATATAACCCTGCTGTGGAAATGTGCCGAGTTCAATAAACAGTTGTGGTGACAAAAGAATGTGACATTGCCAGGCATAGAGTAAAAGGGCATTTTCATGGACAAACAAGCGATCTACATTTCACTTGGATCAGTAGGCCTTTGAAAACTGAACAAAGTATCTGCAGATCTAGTTTGTATTTATACTAATAAAACAGATCTTAATCTAAAGAAATCAGACCCTCTCTGTCCATTACTGATCCAACACGTTATAATCCATACACTTGCAAATGTACAAAGGAGACCTTCCAAATTTTCCTATTGTCCCAAGTGAACTGACCGCATTACCCTTTTCATATTGCACAGCTGTGTTCTCCCTGGAAGAAAAAAACAAGTGGTGATGTCTTCATTGGAGTTAAAACAAAGGATTTGCATTCAAAGAATCATTTGCAATATGTTATAATGTATTTAAAAGAACTTAGTTTAGGTTTTAACAAAATTATAGCCTTTTTATTTATAGTTCAATGTAGAAAAATTTTAGGTGCATTACGTGTAATTTCACCATGATATATAATGCTATTAAAGATGCAGTAGCAATTATTGTTTAGCCAAAAGAACTATTGGCAAACTGGCTTTTTACTGATAATTATTCCAAAACCTTCTATCAAAGAGACAGATACGAGGGTGATGTACAATACAAAGTCTTTGCATACTGGTGTGATGCGCAGCTCTTTTCGATATGCACACTCCCTCTCCCATAGGCATTCAAACCAACAGGAAGGAAATGAAAACAAGGTCTTTGTTTTAAACATTTGTAGAAATGAGATGGAAACCTCCTGGAGAAATCAGGTCTGTTGTTATTTTTTTTGCACTATAATAACGTAAGTTCCAAATTCATATCTACAATTCATGGACAGAAAGAAATTAAAACGTTCTCAGCACAGATTTGTTGATGGGCCTTTGACAAACGCAGGCAGACAGACTGACACAGATTGATTGTCTATCGGCAATGGGCACAGTATATGTGTTCAGTTGAACTGGCATTCTGAAGTTGAGCTGAGCAATGACAGGAGCTTCATTGAGGTCGATAACAAGAGCCGTGGAGTGTTCTGAGAGACGTCCAGCACAGCAGTGAGAATGGAAGATCCGGTGAAGAGAGGCTTTATGTGCAGAGCGGGTGATCTGTTTTAGAATGAGATTTTAGAAAGCACATCCTCTCTGCACACAACATGCACTTGTACAAGAACCTCTTCTCTCCTGTTTCGGTGGCAAGAAGGCAAGAGAAATCATGACTGTTGCCAAACAACAAGAAATGTTCTTCAGAATTTTCAGGGAATGATCGGGACCAAAGCAAAATATTTTCAGATCAGACCCTGGTCTTTACAACACTTTTTAACTCGCAATTCTTAACATTGAGAAGGTTCTGCCTTGGTATACAAAACCTTTTATTTGCTTATTTACCTTTATATCTCAAGACCATAAGAAAGCTAACAAACTATTCTGTACATCAAGCTCATTTGGCTTCTAGCTGCCAATTGATCTGAGAGGTATCGTCTTTAACAATATGGCAGTGGGCAGCTTGCTCCTGGCTCCCACAGTCTCTCTGTCTAAAACATTGCCTCTTGTGCTCAGTTTTAAACGTGCGTCGTCAATGACAATAATGTGATCTTCCAGTAAATACGCACACCATTGCTCATTTGATCGGGAAGTCAACAGCATTTGTCTTTGTTGAATGTTTGTGTTTTGTTGTTTTCACTGGGAGGTGTGTGATCTTCCGTCCTGTTCTTTAAGATCTTCTTTGCAGCAGTTCCAGTAATTAATCGCACACCTGGGGAAGAGACACTGACTGTAGCTGCTACACAGCAACCTGGCGCTGCAGAAAGACAGGATATCCCTCAGCAGGACTTCGTATTCCCTTTCTCTTGACTCTGTCCTGTCTGTCCCAGCAGACCCTTGCAGCACCAACACCCAGAACGATAAGATCAGGACAGCGGCGAACAACAGGAACACAAGGCTCCTCCAGT